CTTTGCGAGAATGTATAGAAATGAGCATAAATTCAAAGAATTCTGTAAGTACCTTGCTGTCACATGTCACTTAAGATAGCAGGTGAGATCTGAGACTTTCAAACCCCGCAAAGAATGTAAGAGAGCTCTGGAGAAATTGGGACGAGAGCGCGATTTCTCGAACAACAAAGATATTACCTGATTAATAGCGCATCGGAATCCCAGCGAATAATTGGGATTACTCTTCAAACAAATTATGGATCACACGATTCGTTTGAGGAAGAGCCCGAACTACGGTTAGCAAAATTATCTGCTCACTAGAATGCACTATTCCACAATGAGGATCTACACAAGGCTATAATTGCAGCTGCATGTCTCATGCTTATGACGATGGTGCAGAGGGTCCATACAGTCGCGCAGTGGCTTCCTCGTCGACCGCTGTCCGGGTGCACACCGGTCCTTCCACCTCTGTCATATGATCTTACCGACAAATAACCGCAAGACTTCTCAATGACGACTTCACTTTCGATATTAGAGATGGAAATTATGCCACTGACGCAGAACCATTATTCCAATTGCAACCCGCAAATACAGCGGGAGTCGTCTTATGATTATGCAGGTATTAACAATTATTGCAGTCGTCAGGCAATGCATCCCTTCGGAAGCGAAGAAGCCTCGTTCTCCGTGAGATTTTAAAATCGATCATGCGGTGCAAGTGTTAAACTTTCTGATCTCGCCCATATTCACCATATGAACAATTCAGGACAGACTGTTCAAGACGTCAGCGACTAGATGATGACGATGGTGATAGTGATAACTCTCAGCTATGGGGGCAACTGGATGGCTCGAGATACGTGCCAACAGGAAGAAACGTGCAGCCAGAGGGAGAAGGATGAGGTGGCCTCCGGTCATGTGACCACTGTCATTCACAGGATCTGCCGGCGAATAATGGTTTTTGCGGACGTTGGCTGGTGCACCCACCGCAGATAAGTGCATCCGAAGCCGATCTGCTTCCAGTCCATAAGAGTCCTTCTGCTCCACCAATCAACTAGTGGTAGCCCACTGCAAGTGGAAAGTTAGCTAGAGTAGTACACCTGGACCGAACGTCGACACAATACCCCGTATCGTTCGGCCGAGACATTACAAACCGGGATATGTCCCGAGACCTTCCCTTCGGTCAAAAGACGGCCCTAACCGAGGAAGACCCCTAGAGGCATCCTACAGCTTTGTAATGAAAAATGCTTGGAGGTGTCAAATAATAATCAATGGTGTTACCAGAAGGGAGATCTCTGTTCCCGGTTCGGAAATGAAATATAGACAAGATGCAACTCGAGTAACTGTTGAAGATATATATGATACTTTTTTTCCCCCTCTGAACAGGCATGTCAGGCCAATTAACAGATACAGCAATAATGACTGATTAAGATATGGTTATTGCCGCCTACATTCAAGGTTCATCTATCTTTGTATTAATACATATATATTATGGTTGTCTTATGTCTTCCTTACGTTAAGTAAGTAGTACTGAATATAATTTGTTTTGACTGATAGTATACAGTCAGGGTGAAGAAAATGAGCATGAGCCTGGCTGATTCTAGAGCTAGGGATTGAATTAGCCTCTAGCCTAGCTGAAAGGTACCTGATCTGATGTTGTATTGTAGTTCTTGTTCCAGGCCTTAAAATCACAAGTAGATGTCGATCTATGCGAGATACTGTATTTTCTTAATTTCGGTCATACACTACCTCTCCCCTTGTTTCAATAATTGGCATGATAACATTATCAGACCATCTTTTTAATCAAATAATAAGTTAATATGCATTTATCTTGTTTTTTTTTTTTTTTTTTTTTTTTTTTTTGTTTCTGAAGTAGGAATATCAGTGACACAGACAGAGCAATGAGAAAAGATTACAAAACTTGATATTACTGCGTTGTATATGTCTAATAATTGTATGAAAATTTTACTTACTACAGAAATGATCAGCTCAGTGAGCTTCATACCAATCAGGGATACTGTGATGGCCCGGGTATGCCGTGGCCAGCTAACAAAATAAATTTGTCAACCTTGCAGATACAGCGATTTTTTCAGGTCTTGTGATAGCTAGTTTGGTGCTCGGTCGGGCTGCGGGGTTTGTATTACTGATCTTGATTATATTTATTCTCTTAGATTAAATCAGGGCTTTTTTTAGCATTGTTATTGGCGGGGAGGACTTCCGCTCCTATTAAAATACTCATTGGACTGACTCATGAACCTCAGCGCCTTCTAAAGACTACGATTAGTCAGCTTTATATTATTATTCTAATATTATGATGAAGATTTGTATTTTTCCCCTCCCAATCCAACCCCCACTCTCCGCGGGCCAATGAGTATTAATCACTCAACTTCATGTTGTAGGAGGCTGCTGGTACTTCAAACTCTTGTTATATAACTGTATATCTCTGGATTTCGCCTAGATTAGAAGACAGGTACGGGATCTATATCATGCTGACCACTACACGACGCGCACCCGGTATTTGGAAGTGTGGAGATAGGTCTGATTTTGAACAAAAAGTATTTGGAGCATATGACTAGGTCCAACTAATAGAAGCTTGGAAGTATATATCTTATATTCTGATATCTTATAAATGACTGCTCTTGTTCACCCTGCCTATCCTCTAAGTGCAATCTCTAGTTTCTTTTCTATTAGACTTTGTGGACTCTACTATACTTCGTGAACCGCTCAAAATGCGGGTTCAAACAGTCATTGCCTCTGTCTTCCTCGGCGTCGGCATAGCCACAGCGGCAGAAACTTGTGATAACAGCTATTCTGAAAAGGACTGTAACTGGGAAGGCACTGCTCCGTTCTGTGGTGCAAGCGATCATCCTGTTGGCTATACAGATAATGGATGGACACTTGTGGCAACAACTAAGTACGAAGACCATCTGGCTCTCGAGCTCACAGGCAAGATTAGCCTGGAATGTTATGAAATCTATGGATCCGGCTGCGTGACTGGTTGGAAAAACTTGTGGTGCCCGCGTATGAGTTTCTGATATCCTCTAAACCTCATGTTCTATTAACTAATATCCTACAGCCAGCTAGGATGAAGGGCTTGGAGGTTATATATTGATTGGTAATTTGTGATTTGGGCGGCTTGCATTACTCTATTTCTTGGGTTGGATAGGAAACAGTGAATACCAAGTTGCTTTATTTAATAGGGTCTTCAACTTGACACCAAGCATATGCTGAGATTGCCTACATTTACAATCAATCACCGAAACATGATTTTAGCAACGTGATGCTATGAGTCTTATCCATCTTTACCTGCCTCGGAGGATTCTGATATAGTTGTAAAATCTTAGTTTAGGCCATTTCAAGTTTGGTGAAACTCGGCCGAAGATCGCCAGTCTCCGCATACACGTAAATAAATTTTCCTTTTCTTTTTTCGGGGTGCTTGACAAAGTCTGACTTCCTACACGATCACGTTGGATCGTAACGTCTGATTATTCGGGCTGGGTGGTGCTCGTGAGGTTAGCTCCTTCACGCCAGATTTGACAGAGCTGGTCAAGTAGCCCAGTCTTTCTTGTATAGAACTCTGATTCTTTTAGTAATTTCTACAGCAGACGTTACAAGCAGCTACTAGTACTGGAGTGCCCTTTGACTTCCTTTCC